CTGTGCGGCCTGGTCAGCTGCTCGGGACAGGATGGACCTGAGTTCCAGGGAGATGGTAACACCCACATTTCCCATTCCCACCCCAGGTGCCCAACCAGGTCCCGCCCGAACTTGCCCGGGGCAAAGCGCCCGCGCCCCGCAGCTAGGAGTGTCCTGGCCTCGGGTAGGTAGTCGGGATTCTCTCCTGAATGTATTGAAATTGGGGGTGCGTCAAGAGCCCTAGAGAAGGGAGCGGCAAGCAGCCCCTTCTTGCCCTCCCCCTCGACTCTGAGGTGAGCCAGCAGCTGTGGGAGGTGGACAAGCAGGGCACCCAGGTGGACTTTCCTCCCTCTCCCCTCCCCCCCGCCACCTCCAGGAGGGAGAGTCAGATGAGAGAAGAAACCCTAGCATAGGTTGGGGCCTCTACTCCTTAAACCTCGGTAAGTGTTCATTAATGAATCAGCCAGTCAGTAGTGCTGGCCTTGAGCACCTAGGTAGTTGCGAACCTGGGCCACACATTATGGAATAGGGAAATGACATCAAGAAATGCTCCTGAGAAAATATTAAGTGAAAAACTCAATATTTAAGAGGGTCTTAATAGACTTTTTATAGAAGGTATGTGTGTATACTCTGTGCTTCTGTAAATGCCCAGACAAGGCTGGAAAGAAATATTTTATATGGTGGACAGTAATATTGTGGACAGTTCCTGTCTTAGTCTGTTTCGGCCCCCATAACAAAATACCATAGCCTGGGTAGCCTAACCAACAGAAATCTATTTCTCACAGTTCTGGAGACTAGAAATCCAAGATCAAGATGCCAGTAAGATGGGTTTCATTTTGGAGCCTTTTCTCTTGGTGGTCATCTCAACAGCTTGGGGGCGGGAAGAGGAAGAGGGGGGAGGAGGGGAGGGAGAGGGTAAGAGAGAAGGAGGTGAAGGATGGAGAAGAAAGAAGGAATAGGCTCTCTGATGTCTCTTTTTATAAGGGCACTAATCCAAAATGAGGGCCCCACCCTCATGACCTCACCCAATTCTAATGGCCTCCCACAGGTCCCATCTCCAAACACCACCGCAATGGGGGTTAGGGCTCCAACTGATGAATTTGGGTGGATGCAAACATTCAGTCCATAACTACCTTACAGGTGGTACCTCAGAATGGTTAAGAATTTGGGTTCTGGAGCCAGACTGGCTGCACCACTTACCAGTGTCTGTCCTTAGGCAAATCCCTTAACCTTGCAATGCCTCAGGTTTCCCACCCGTGCATTTCCTATTTACTACGTGCCTGGCTCTGTTCTGAGCATCTGTCATTCTAACTCATTCTTCTTCTTAATGATTCTTGACCATCGTCATCCCCATGTTACTGATGAAAAAGCTTTACATATGTCATTTAATCCTCACAAATGCCAAAGAGGTAATATTCCCACCCTTTTTACAGATGAAGAAAATGATTCGAGGAAGTGAATTTGATTACCCATAATCACCCTACCAATAATTGACAGACACAGGGTTTAAACAGGTTCCTTTTGACCCAAAGCCTGTCCACCAGCTCCCCACCTGTTTGGTCTCCCAGGATGCCTTGCCAGTGTTTGCCAATTGCCTGATGATAGCATCACCTAGGGTGCTTACTAAAAGCAATCCGGGAGTCAGCAGGCCCAGTTCTGTTCTCAGCCAGAGTAAGTCCCTTCTTTGCCTTCTGGGGGCTCATTTTTATTATGTGTCAAACAAAAAGCTGGACAAGTGCCCCTGAGATGGCAGATAGGTTTTAGGTCGCTGCCAAGTTTGGTTGCTCTGCAGCAGCTTCCTGGAGCACAGTGAACAGGTTCTGAGGCCACAGCTGGGTGATGGCCATGGGGAGGGGGCGTAGGGTGAGTAACCATCCTGGTTGCCCAGTACTTTCCTAGTGTTAGCGCTCAAAGTCCTGGGACAGTGGTTATCCTAACGATGGCTTCCCAGGGTTAGACAATCTGTAAAGTCCCAACCAGAGCTATACTTAGGTGATCTTTCCCTCGCCCCAGGTCCCTGGGTGTCTGCATTCTGCTGGGTTCATTCTCTCTTTTTAAAATGTTTTTCACTATGATGGGGTAATTTGTTATGCAGCAATAGGATACTAATACAAGTGTAATCCAAGTTGCAACTGTGAACTACCCCCATGTAGCTCACATGGCATCTAACAGATGTTGCTATTTTCCCTTGAAAATTTCAAATGTCCCTGGTGATGGAAGGAGACTTGACTTGGGGTGGAACACGCTATACCAGGGGTCCTCAAACTACGGCCCGCGGGCCACATGCAAATACAAATATTGTATTTGTTCCCATTTTGGTTTTTTACTTCAAAATAAGATATGTGCAGTGTGCATAGGAATTTGTTCATAGTTTTTTTTAAAACTATAGTCCGGCCCTCCAACAGTCTGAGGGACAGTGAACTGGCCCCCTGTTTAAAAAGTTTCAGGACCCCTGACTTAGAATATCTATCTTGTTGGGTCATCAGAAGAACAGAACTCTCCAGGAGCCCACAGAAGTCACCAATGAAATCATCTTCCAGGTCTACCTTTTCATAGGCTGCCAGATAAAGGGCATGAAACCATCCAGCTTAGGTCAAAATGAGCCTATTCTCTTCTGTCAAATATCCCTGTAAGTTTGCAACACCTCCCAGCACCTTAGTACACAGTCTGGGAGCTGTGGCTCTAAGACATGAAGCATTTCTAGAGATAAAGAGGAATGTTAAAGAATGAGAAAAGGGTAGATTCCCCCAAGAAGATTTATCAGTTCTAAATTTGTAGGCACCCGCCCCGCTGGTGTGGCTCAGTGGTTGAGTGTTGACCTATGAACCAGGAGGTCATGGTTCGATTCCTGATGGTGGCACATGTCCGGGTTTCGGGCTTGATTCCCAGTAGGGAGCGTGCAGGAGGCGGTCGATCAATGATTCTCTCTCATCATTGATGTTTCTATCCCCCTCTCCCTCTCCCTTCCTCTCTGAAATCAATAAAAATATATTTTAAATTTGTGGGCATCTAATAACAGCTTTAAAATATGTAAAACAAAAATTTATAGAATTAATAGCAGAAATAGACATTCACATTTATATACCTCTCTCAATAAGTGATAGAATAAGTGTGCATACAATTCTGTAAAGATAAATGTGATAGGAGACCATTGTAGAGATTTAAGCAGAAGAATCACATGATCTGATTTACATTTGAAAAACATAATTCTGGCAACTGGAGAACAGACCTGAGGTTCAGGTGGAAAAGTGATGGTAGAGGTAGCAAAGAAGTGGTATTCTTTTTGATGTCTGCTTTTCCGAACAGCCCCTGTCTCCTTCCAGTTTCTTTTGGGATGGTTCCCCAGGTCTCGATTCAACAGGGAGAGCCCCCTTTGATGTAAAATAACAAATACATTTTGGGATAATCTGTAGCTGGAAACTTTTCCATTTGGTGAAACTCTAATAATTCCCGTAAACCTTTGTCCCTGTGAACCCAGTTCATAGACTCAACCATTACTTTAATTTATCACATGGAGGGGCCCTTTGGGACTGGGTAATTTAAAGGACAGAATCAGGACTGATAGGGTAACTTCCTGGGCCAGCAGAATAATAATAACACCAATGATAACAATGAAATTTACTGAGCACTTCCACTATGTGCCAGATGTTGTGCTTTATAATCTCACTTAATCCTTATGACAACCAAAAAGCTGTCTTACAGATGGTGAAATAGAGGCTTGAAGAGGCTTCATAACGTATCTGAGGCCACCCAGTGAGTCAAGTGGTGAAGGTAAGACTAAAATCCAGGTCTGTTCCCCTCCAAAGCCTATGTTCTTAACCACTATGATACTGCCTGGCAAGCGTTATGTCCATAAAAAGAATTGTGCCAATTTTAAATAAATATATCCTTGGTAACATTTAGTACCCACTGTTCATATTAATTGTGTTCCTTTATAAGTGGGTTCCATGAGTACTGCCCTCGTTTTAAAAGGAAGGACATGGATCCATGAATATAGAAATTGGAAATGGAAAAATTCCACTTGACTGTCTCTGTCTTGATTCCCTACTCCCATTGTAAGACAAATGAAGCACCTGAAAATTTTCAGAGAAGGGTGTGCAGCAATATTTGCCAGTTTTGGGGGGTGGGGGAAGTGTAAGCTGCTCCTTAAAAATTAGGTATCTGGACAGAACCGGTGTGGCTCAGTGGATAGAGCGTCGGCCTGCGGACTCAAGGGTCCCAGGTTTGATTCCGGTCAAGGGCATGTACCTTGGTTTCAGGCACATCCCCAGTGGGGGGCGTGCATGAGGCGGCTGATCAATGTTTCTCATCGATGTTTCTAACTCTCTATCCCTCTCCCTTCCTCTCTGTAGAAAATCAATTAAAAAATATTTTAAAAAATTAGATATCTGTGTGTTGGGTTGCAGGGCAAGCTACTGTTTTCAGAATCCAAGTGGAATCTAACACCATAAAACAATGCCAAGAGGAAAGACGGGAAAACACAACAGGGAAGGAGCACCCCTGCCTGTCGCTCCAATTCTTCAAAAGTTCCTGAAAACCTACGAGAAGCATTGTGCACAGACACAGACGTCTGTGTGCCCAGCCATCAGAAAGGACTTGAAAACCAGCATCAACAGCGAACAGATTCTCAGGAAGGTGAGCGGATGGTCTCCTCTCCTCGTTCTTCTCTGACATGAACTGACTGACTAGGGTTTACTCCCAGGGAACATGGGTCCTCAGTCCCCTGAGCCCCGAACTGGTGGTGTCGCCCCCTCTGTGCTGCTGCCTGAAGACCAAAGCCTGGTTCTGGTACCAAGGGCCTGCTCAGCACTTCTCCTACCGCCAAAGCTGCCCCTCCCAGTCCTCCCTGCAGGCCGGCCTTTTCTCACACACTTCACCTCTGGAGTGGCCAACCTGCCCCTCCCCCACTCTACATCTGGAAAGCCCAGCCCCAGAGCATCACTTCTGTCCTCACTGCAGGGCCTCCCTCCCCAGCACTCCAGCCACCCACTGGTCCCTCCAAGTGCCTCCTTCCCCTGACAGCCGGCGTGTCCACGTCATCAGGCCAGACCTGCATCACCCAGGCCTCTCATCTCACTTGGAGTGAGGTCAGCCAACACATCATTCTGATTCCAGAAGCACTGGATTTTCAAAAAATTCTAATGTCATATTTTTTTCTGAGATTACACCTAGGGGTTGGGTGTGAGGGGAATGAGACACTGAACCTAAATGGCCAACTTTTGGGAAGGGGCCTGACAGGCTAGAAGAGGGAGTCTGGCACCCAAAGACAGACGGGCCAACTTTACAACATTTCTATCACAGCGCAGAATGACAGTCCATGTTTCAATAATCAAATACCTACTGATTTCCACATTGCACTCCACACAAAAAGAACCTCCTAAAGTTCCTCTCTAACCATCTCTCTCTTTTACCTAAACTTCCACTTCTCAGGCAGCTGCCCCGGCCTCTCCCTTCACCTCCCCTCTCTGCCTCCTCTACTCTCCTCTTCCTCCTCTACCCACCCAGGTCTTTCTACTCCCTGCTCACCCCAGGGAGGAGCTTCCCAGAGTCATCCTTTTGGTGGTAAAATAAAAACTGATTTTTTTTTCTACTGTAGTTTTTATAATCAGCCTCCACCACTAAATCGTAGGGGTTAACTATAAATTTTGTTCAGATTTATAGTCCCTTCAGCAATGTTTTCCAAACATTTTAAATTACAATCACCGCCTGCTGCTCATTGGCCCACGCACTGAAGGGTTGTGGGTTCAGTTCCAGGCCCGGGTCAGGACACGTGCAAAAACCAATCAATGTGTCCCTCTCCCATCAATCTCTCTGTCCCTCCCTCCATCTCTCCCACTCTTTCTACAAATCAATGGAAAAGATATCCTCAGGTAAGGATGAACAAAAATAAATAAATAAAATAAATTACAGTCACCATCAGAAATACAATTAACATTCTGACCCAGTATATAAGGACTGGTAGATTGCTTTGGTTGGGTTCCATTTTTATTTTGAATATCATTGAAAGAAAAGAAATGAAATTGATTTCCTGACCTAAAAATGGGTAGTAACCTGCTGGAAAAATCTCTGCCCTATAGGTCTTTTCATGGAAGTCTGGGTATGGCAGTAACTTCATACGTTTGTGTTGAGTGCACACCACGCACACCAGTGCACCCCTGTCCCAAAATTAATAACTATTTAAATGTTCTTCCAATGTTGTCTAATGACAATGTTCTTCCTCCACATATTCAGATGCATAGATGTCTCTTTATTGTTTTTGTTTTTTTGTTAATCCTCACTCAAGGATATTTTTCTAATGATTTTTAGAGAGAGTGGAAGGGAGGGGGAGAGACACAGAGAGAGAGACACATCGATTGGTTGCCTTCCGCACCCATTCGGACCAGGGCCAGGGACCAAGCCTGCAACTGAGGTACATGCCCTTGCCTGGAAATGAACCAGAACCTCAGTCCTAGGGCCAACACTCTATCCACTGAGCCAAACCGGCGAGGGCCGGATGTCTCTTTATGATATCCACCTGTGGTTTTTCTCTTACACCAGTTTGTACTTGTAAAACCCGATGACTCCCAGCCAAGCACCCTTCCGATTTCCTTGGAACCTTTGCTCATGACAATTCGAGATGAGTGTTACACGCTGGGGCAGCAGATCTGCATCTGGGGACTTCAACTGAGCAACCCGGAGATTGCCAGACTCGTGAGTCCTGCACTTTCAAAACGTTTATTCGATTAGTCTTAAAATTGACAGGAAGCATATTACATCATGTGTTCCAGCTATAATTTATTTGGTTGTTGACTGATACGCTCCAAGGTTTTCTTTAAAAAAGAAACAAGAAACAATGTATTTTTAATTAAACATTTCAAACAGATAAAAGCACAGAAAATAATAGAACTGACATCCTTGTATATTTCATGAAATATGCTTTATTAAGGCATAAACATTGTGAATTTTACAAGTACAATAGCTAAGCTTCATCTCACTTCTTCCCCATCTACGGCCCAGAGGCACCATCCCCTGCTTTAATGATGTTCGCGAAGGGCAAGCTGGCCTCATGCCCGCGTCCTCCTTGAGGCTCCCACCTGTCTCATCCATGGACCTTCGTCTATTCCTCACTAACCTGCCAGTCAATCAGCACATTTTTTTTAAAAAAGTATTTTTTAACACTCATAGAAGAAAAGCTTTATGATGTTGGATTTGGCAGTGATTTCTTGGATATGACACTAAATGCACAGGCAACAAAAGAAAAATGAGATGCATTGACTTCATCCAGATTCAACACTTCTGTGCAGCCAAAGGCACAGACAACAGAGTGAAAAGGCAACCCACAGAATGGCAGAAAGTGATCGCAAATCACATGTCTGATAAAGGGTTAATAGCCAGGGTATACAAAGAACTCCACCTCACCAACAACAAAACAAGCAACCTGGTTTAAAAATGGGTGAAAGATCTGAGTGGACATTCTCCAAGGAAGATACACAAAAGACCAATAAACATACAAGATGCTCAACATCCCCACTAATCACTAGAGAAATGCACATCAAAACCACAATGAGATACCAGCTCATGTAAATGAGGGTGGTTACTATAAAAAAAGAGCGGAAAATAACATGTTGATGAGGATGTGGAGAAATTGGAACCCTTGTGCACTGCTGGTAGGAATTTAAAAGGATGCAGCCACTATGGAAAACAGTACGGAGGTTCCTCAAAAAATTAAAATAGAATTATACAATCCAGCAATTCCATTTCTGGCCAAAAGAATTGAAAACAGGGTCTCAAAGAGATATTCTCAAAAAATTAAAATAGAATTATCATACAATCCAGCAATTCCATTTCTGAGTATATGGCCAAAAGAATTGAAAACAGGGTCTCAAAGAGATATTTGTACTCTCGTGTTCATAGCAACAGTCACATTGCCAAAGGTGGAAACAATCCAAATGGACAGGCAAATGAAAAAAAAAAATGTATATACATACAATAGTATATTATTCAGCTTAAAAATTCTGACACATGCTACAGCATGGACCTTGAAGAACTTATTGTAAGTTAAATAAGTCAGTCACAAAAGGACAAATACTAAATCATTCCACTTATATGAAGTCCCCAGAGTGGTCAAATTCAGAGACAGAAAGAGTGACAGTTAGTTGCCAGGGGCCGGGGGGAGGGGAGAATGAGCGTTATTTATTGGGCACAGAGTTTCCGTTTTGCAAGACAAAAAAGTTCTGGAGACGGATGGTGCCTACGGTTGAACACCAGTGTGAATGTACTTACTGCCACTGAACTGCACACTTGAAAATGGTGAAGATGGTACATTTTATGTGTATATGACCACAATTTATAACGATTTGAAATATATAACCAGAATTTTTAGTTGTTTTCATTCAGAGGGTCAGTCAAGGTACATAGTCCATTTAAGTCAGAAACACAGCACTGTCCCTGCATGTTAAGTGACCCTTCACAGTTCCTGAAAGCGTGGCCCTCGTGGCGAGATGGCGGCTGCTGAGAAAGTCCTGGTAGATGGCTGTGGTCTTGCCCACAGCAGGGCGTGAGCCCCGGAGGGACTCGGCAGACCGCTGGTTCAGGTCTCTGGGACCTGGCAGAGCCTGTTCTGCACAGACCAGCATGACCAGGCAGTGAGGGCTCCTCTGTCAGCAGCAGCTTGAGAAATCCAATCCGCCACCAGCCCAGGCCTCCCCTCATTAAAGAGGCCTCGGCACTGGCGCTGTGGTCGAGGTTGCGAGTGCTTTTTTGTTCTCAGCCGAGGTATAATTTGGAATCCTATCTCTGACCAACGTGTCATTACCTCAAAAAACCCTAAATCCTCCAGACCTCCCCCAGGCCTCTCTCAGGCTTAAATTCAGAACGGAGGGAATCCTCAGGTGGTGGTGCTTCTAATTGCTAAGAGGGGGCCTTCAGGATTTGTAGCTTTAACGGCTCTTTCCTGTCAGGAAGGTAGGGACTTCACTGTGACCGGGATCATTTGTTACCACAAGAAATGACCTTGCCATTGACCCCTCCATTCAGGAACCCAGGGAGCAGGCGATGGCTCCAAACGCTCACGTGTCGCCCCCAGTCCAGCTGTGTCAATGTGAGCAGCACCTCGTTCCTGCATTTGCACAGTCTAGTTCTGAGGAGACCCCCAATCCTAGTAATATCTATAAGTATGAAAATGAGTCATTGGCGAGAGCCTTTAATTATTATAACTTTAAGTGTAAGATCGGCACAGCAGCACTTCTCTTCTTTAAAGAACACAACCATAGGAGGATAAACACGTGTTGGTCAGACTGTGAGCATCCGTGTTGGTTTGCTAGGGCCGCCATGACAAAGTGCCACAGATTGCATGGCTCAGACGATAGAAATGTATTTTCCCCCAGTTCTAGAGGCTAGAAGTCTGAGCCCAAGGTGTCAGCAGGGTCGGTTTCTTCTGAGGCCTCTCTCCTTGGCTTGTAAATGGTCATCTTTTCCCTGTGTCTTCCCATCGTCTTCCCTCTGCACAAATATGAGCCCGAATTTTCTTTTCCCATAAGGACACCAGTCCGATTCCATTAGGGTCATCCTAATGACCTCATTTTACCTTAATTACCTCTTTAAAGGAACCATCTCAGCAAATATAGTTACATGCTGAGGTGCTGGGGATTAGGACTTCAACATATGAAAGTGGGAGGGGCACCATTTAGCCCATAATGACATCTAAAAAGATATGCTGCAATATATCTTATCTCATCATAAAGCTTGGTGTTTCACAGATAATTTTTTTAATAATACATTTGTGTGGTTTTTTAAACTATATTTTTATTGATTTCAGAGAATAAGGAAGAGGGAGAGATAGAAACATCCATGATGAGAGAGAATCATGGATTGGCTGCCTCCTGCATGTCCCCCACTGGGGATTGAGCCCACAACCCAGGCATGTGCCCTTGACCGGAATCAAACCTGGGACCTTTCAGTTCACAGGCCGACGCTCTATCCACTGAGCCAAACTGGCTAGGGCTCCCATATAATTCTTTGATGAGTCTTCATTTTTAAGGGAAATTATTCTATTTGCATGCCACTTTCTCCTTGGGTAAGTAGAAAGTTATTTTAGAAGCAAGAATGTTGAGGTATTTAAGACAACTGACTTTTAAGTAACATGAACACAGAGAGCATATTAACTTTATTACATAAGGACTCTTTACTTTGCGTTCTCAGGCTTTGCTTCTGGAATGGAAGGGGCATGCCACCTGCCCACTGACCACCCTAGAACTCATTGATTGCAAGATGGATCTGTGGTCTCTGGGGAGACTTGGGCAGGCTCTGCAGTTCAGCAGTTTGCATTCTCTTGTCCTCGATTACTGCAGGTACGGCTCTGACTGCTGTCAGCTGGGGGAGGCAAGGCCGGGGGAGGGCAATGTCCCCTTTCCGTGCGTCTCATCACGTCATCACTGAAAGGGGACACTGTAAAACCTCCCTAGAGTTAATGTTCCTGAGTGAATGTTAGGGTTCTCAAAAAAGCGTCTATTCATTCATTTATTCTTTCTTTCTTTCTTTCTTTTTAATATATTTTATTGATTTTTTACAGAGAGGAAGGGAGAGGGATAGAGAGTTAGAAACATCGATGAGAGAGAAACATCGATCAGCTGCCTCCTGCACACCTCCTACTGGGGATGTGCCCACAACCAAGGTACATGCCCTTGACCAGAATCAAACCTGGGACCTTTCAGTCCTCAGGCCAGCACTCTATCCACTGAGCCAAACCGGTCAGGGCATTCATTTATTCTTTCAATAAATGTTTGTCCAAGGCCTGTCTGTGCAAGACCCTGTGCTCATTGCTAAGGAAGATGCAAATATACACAAGGTGAGACTGCTGTCCGAGGGAGCCCTCAGGCTAGCAGCGGAGAGGAGACATGCTCTTCTTGATTATGCAGAATGTAAGGTGGACTCTGGATGTCACCAAAGATGTCCATATGCAGTGGTTCTCAACCTGTGGGTCGCGACCCCTTTGGCGGTCGAACGACCCTTTCACAGGGGTTGCCTAAGACCATCCTGCATATCAGATATTTACATTACAATTCATAACAGTAGCAACATTACAGTTATGAAGTAGCAACGAAAATAATTTTATGGTTGGGTCACAACATGAGGAACTGTATTAAAGGGCCAGAAGGTTGAGAACCACTGAAAGTTGAGCGGTAGTGTGGCTAAGGGAAACCACAGCCTCTAGGGACGGTGCAGTGGGAGGGGAGGAGCAACCCAGGGCCATGGAAGGAGGACTGGGAGGTTGGAATTCCCTGCACCTGCTCTGGACAAACTTTAAAAGGCCACTCCTGCTTGGCCCATGTGGCTGAGTTGTTGAGGATCGACCCATGAACCAGGAGTTTGCTGTTCGATTCTGGGTCAGGGCACATGCCTGGGTTGCAGGCTCAATCTCCAGGAGGGGGCGTGCAGGAGGCAGCCGATCAATGGTTCATTTTCTCTCATCAATGTTTTTCTCCCTCTCTCCCTCTCCCTTGCTCTCTCTGAAATCAATAAAAACTTTTTTTTAAAGACCCCCTCCTTACAAAGTTCTGGTACCATTGAGCCTCCACAGACTCCTTCGGCCCTGCCAGCTGGGCCATCTCTTCTGACTGCAAGGTTCAGAGCTCGCTCTCCATTCGCTTCCTTGAATGGCTACTCAAACCATCCACTGCTCTTTGCTCAGAAGGCAGACTCCAGGCCCCCTTCCTCCACACGCAGGCAGCCCCCTCTGTCAACCCAGCCCACCCCAGCGCCAGCCCTGGCCCAGGAAGCCCAAATCAAAGATCAGCAAAAGTGGCTCTAGCCCTAGCTGGTTTTCTCAGTGGTTAGAGCCTCGGCCTGCTGACTGAAGGGTCCTGGGTTTGATTCCAGTCAAGGGCACATGCCCGGTTATGGGCTCGGTCCCCAGTGGTGGGCGTGCAGGAGGCAGGTGATCAACGATTCTCTCTCATCATTGATGTTTCTCTATCTCTCTCTTCTTCTCCATTCCTCTCTGAAATCAATAAAAATATTTTATTTTAAAAAAAAAAGTGGCTCTAACTGCCCTAGGGGTGCTTGAAAATGACTAACCCAGTGGGTGACATAGGTCTTAAAAGTCACTAATTGGTTCCTGTCATTTCCTTTTAGATTTGAAAGTGAAGAAATGGAGAGCATTTTCTCAGGCCTGGAGAACAACCACAGGCTTCAAGGCCTCAGCCTGCGCTACTGTGGTCTGGGGCCCCGGAGCGGGCCCCGCCTGGGCTCCGTCATCCGCCAGAGTGCCATCTGGTGAGAGGCGTCCCCTGTCGCCCAGCCTGCCTCCGGCGCTGTTCTGTCTGGAATTATATAACCAGCTTATTGCCAGAGCCCATTCGTTCCCCTCACTTTTCAATATGTTTCTCATCATCTTTTTCTCTCCTCTAGTTATTTTGTGTTTTCTTCTTCTTAATGATAAGAGCAAGATCCTCTACTTACATTTGAGATTCAGGGATGTCATGTTCAATGCATGTCTCTGGCCAGTAACATGGCCACCAGGTCTATTTTTCATGCCCTGGCCTATTATTTATTATGGTTATTTATTATTTTATAACGAGGTCTAAGTATTAGCATTTATTTTAGGAGGTGAAGACCTCAAGTCCTGATCTGAGAGAGTGGAAATAACACCTAATGAGCCGTGTATTTGGCCCCTTCCCCAGCGAGCTGCACCTCGATGGCAATTACTTGCAGTGTTCCGGAGCGCTGGCCCTCCTCAGGCCCATAGCGGAGTATGCAGAGATGCGGGGCAGAGGCCTGCCAGCCACAGCCTCGCCCGACTCCAGCAGTCCCCCTCCCGCACTCCCAGGTAAGCGCTGGAGAACTAGAAGGAAACTGCTTTGCCACTAAGTGGCCTTCCCAGTGGTCACTCGCGAGTCTGCTTCCTGAGTATGCGTGAGGCCAGAACAAGAGACCCCCAAAGATATTCCTGTCTGAATCTTCAGAATCTGTGACTGTGTGACCTTCATGGCAAAAGGGACTTTGCAGATGTGATCGAATTAAGGATCTTGCTTTAGGGGATTATCCTGGGTTAGCTGAGTGGGTCCAGTGTAATTGCCAGGGTCTTTAATAAGAGCGAGGCAGGAGGGTCAGAGTCAGAGAGCCGGAAAGGTGACAGTAGGAGGAGAGATGGCAGTGACGTGAGGAAGGGGCCATGAGCCAGGAACACAGGTGCTGGAAAGGGCAAGGAAGCAGATTCTTCCCAGAGCCTGCAGAAGGAGCGCAGCTCTGCCGTCACCTTCACTTTGGCCTCTAAGACCCTTTCAGACTTCTGACCTCCAACAGTGGAAGATAATAAAGTTGTGTTGTTTGAAGCCACTACATTTGTGGTCATTGGGTCCAGCAGCAATAGGAAACTAGTGCAGCATGCAAATCAGAAATCTTTCCGTTAAAAGTGAAAGCAACCCAAACACAAATATAACTAGGGTTTTAGTGGCTCACATAACTGGGGTGTCGTCAGGTGGTGTGGTCTTCAGAGATGGCTGAGGTCAGGGGCGCAGACCACTTCATCAGGAGAACCCGAGTTTGCTGCTCATGACTCTACTAGTACTTCCCTTCGGAGGGTTGGTCTCCTCTCCCAGTGCACTAGACTTACTGTGGCGATCATGTCACAATATGTACATGTATTAAATCATTATGTTGTACACCTGAAACTAATATAATGTTATATGTCAATTGTATCTCAATTTCATTTATTTTTAATCCTCACCCGAGGATATTTTTCCACTGATTTTTAGGGAGAGTGTAAGAGAGAGGGAAAGACAGAGAGAAACATCACTGTGAGAGAAACACATCGATTGGTTGCCTCCTGCACACCCCCCAACCAGGACCCGGGCTGGGGAGGAGCCTGCAACCGAGGTACGTGCCCTTGGACCGACTCAAACCCAAGACCCTTTGATCCACAGTCCAATGCTCTATCCATTGAACCAAACTGGCTAGGGCTGTATCTCAATTTTTTTAAAAAAATTATTCACTGACTTGTCCTATTTAAAAAAAGAGCTGAAGTCAGGGCTTCTTTGTGGAACTGAGCTCAAAGAACTTGTAATGAACACAGATTCACAAATTCAATGGTTATCCCCCATTTAGGTATTTTCATGGTATCAAAATTATACAAGTTATTAGTTCAATTTGATAATTCAGTCACCCCAACGAATATACAAAAGGAAGCTGGAAAACAATGTCTGCTATCAAATATTACTTTCCCTCTGCTATTTTCTACCAAGATTCTTATAAAAAGCCCTGGTCCTATTTATGAAGTCCTATATTGTAACTTTGGTATCTAAATAACTAAGTGAATCTGTGATTTTCTTTTAAAGAAATCATTGGAAATGTAAAAGTACCATTTTAAGGGATTGTTGTGTGGCAGGCAGGGACAGGTGTGAGAGGTGTGGGACTGGAAAAGTGAAGACAAGGAGCCCTGGCCAGGTGGCTCAGTTGGTTGAGCATCATCCTGTGCACCAAGTGGTTGTGGGTTCAATTCCTGGTGAGGGTACATACCTAGGATGTGGGTTCGATCCCAGGTGAGGGCATGTGTGGGAGGCAACTGATCAATGTTTCTCTCTCACATTGAGCTTTCTCTCTCTGTCTGTCTCTCTCTCCTCTACATCCCTTCCTTCCTCTCTCTCCAAATATATATATATATTTTAAAAGCATAATATGCTAATTAGACAGAATGTCCTTCTGGATGACCTCATTGGGCCTCTAGTATATATATATATATATATATATAAATGAAAACATATCCTTTAGTAAGGATTTTTTTTAAAAGTGACAGGATGCAGGGAAGAAATGTGAAGGTCTATTCTGGTTGTTCCAACTGGTTTTCTGCTGAAAGGGGCATTAAGGCTTAGTCTTAGGGGTTCTGGATTTGTTTTCCCTGAGAGTCACAAAAGCCAGGGTCAGAGCTGACCACAGAGAGCGCCTGCCCTGTCATTCTTCACGGCAGCCTGGACAGGGTGCACACTGCTCCCGCTGAGCCGAGCCCTGAGGTCAGTGGTCGGCACACAGAAACTCTTGTAAGTTCCTCTCATTACTCAGGATCTTAGCAGTCGCAACAACAAAACCCACCCCAAGTACATGTCTAGGTCCTTCTCTTCCTCTAAGGCTGACTGTGACAGGCTCTAACATTGACATTCACTAGAACCTTAATTTTTGTTTAGTGCATCCAGTGCATTTCAGCTCGTCTGCATTCTTCTGGGTAACTGTGTCAGTCTGCTCGGCTGCCATAACAAAATACCACAGGCGCGTGGTTGAAGAACACACTTACTTTCTCACAGCTCAGGAGGCTGCCAGTCCCAACTCAACGTGCCAGCTGATTCAGTTCCTATTAAGAGCTCTCTTCCTGGCTTACAGATGGCCGCCCTCTTGCTGTGTCCTCACATGGCCTTTCTATGTACACACACACATGTGTGTGCACATACACACACATGTACACATGTGCACGCACACACATGCACATGCACACACGCAGCACTCTCTGGTATCTCTCCAATAAGGACACTAATTCCATCTGATCAGGGACCCACCTTTACGACCTCATTTAAACCTTAATTGCTTCCTAAGACAGGGGTGGGGAACCTCCGACCAGCAGGCCGTACAAGGCCCACAAAATCATTTGGTCTGGCCCTGCCGAGGCATTAGGGGTGAGTTAAGTAAATGTTTGACCAAATAGGGAAGGCTAATTTTTAAGTTGATAATTAAGAATGGCCTGCCAATGATGTTATAAATACCCAAATGGCCCTTGACAGAAACAGGGTTCCCACCCCTGTCCTAAGAGGACAGTAGGGGTTCAGAATGAGTCACCCCAAGATGTATCTGGTATGTGAATTGTTTTGAACCAAAGGCCACCAAGACATTGTAGACTCAAAAGAAACTTCTACCCCATCTTAACTACCTAGGAGAATTTGAATTAGGGGCCTTGCCCAAAATAAGAGATTTTTAGAGATAACCTTTGTTTGACCTATCTGTAGGGCAGGACAAACGACTAATTACTGAACATCTGCTCTTCTTCTTGTCCTGCAATGACCTTCCTTCCCTCTGAAGCCTCAAGGTGACCCTTAGCTCAGAGTGTCATATAGATCTCATTATTCCTTTCTGTCTTTGAACCCCTCATATATGTGGGGTTCCTATACATAAGTATGTGATTAAATTTGGTTATTTTCTCTTGCTAATTTGTCTCATGTCTATTTGATTATTAGACCAGCCAAAAGGACGTTGAGAGTAGAAGAAAGTCTTTTACTCCCCCTTAGCCCCATCTCCAAATACAGCCATCTGGGTGTTAAACATGAATTCTGAGAGGACTCGAACTTTCTGTCCATAGCAGAAACGTACACAGCAGCACTGAGTAAAGTGCCTTCTACTTGAGAGCTGCATTAATACACCTCCACTCAGGCAAATTAGTTTGCCCATCTTGATTTTACTTCTTTGCCAACAGGATTAGCCATAAATGGAAAAGGCGGGGGGGCAATAAATGATTGTGGTCTATTACCAGCCCTCTCTCCTGACCACAGTGGGTATGGGACCCAAGCTCCTCCAGCTGGACTTTGCACCCTAAAATGTGATTCTTGAGCCAAGGAACCTGGTTCCCCACCAACAACAACCTGTGCTTTAGCTCATCCTGCCAGACCCCTGGAGCTGCCCCGGTTCTGGTCCCTTACAACCCTTGTCTTGAAACAAGACATTTTGAGCCAAAGGCTCAAACATACTGTTGTGTCCACCCAAAATTCACATGTTGAAATCCTGATTCTCAAGATGATGGTATTAGGAGGTGGAGCTTTGGGGAGGTGCTGAGGTCATGAGAGCAGAGCCCTCCTGAATGGGATTCGTGTCCTTATAAAAGAGACCCCAGAGAGCTCCCTCCCCCTTCTGCCATGTGAGATTATAGCAAGAACACAGCTGCCTGTGAACCGGGAAGCAAGCTCTCACCAGACACTGAATCTGCCGGTGCTGGGAGACCGTGAGGAGGAAATGTTTGTTGTTGCTAAGCCACCAGTCTACGGGATCTTGTCATAGCACCCCCAGTGCACTAGGACACGGGATACCTGGGAACTTCCAGTAGGGTGAGTTTGAGAAGGTGTGGATGATTTCTTTTAATGTCCAGATTCTCAACTTCCAGGACCCGATACCTGTGATTAATTTCTTTGGTCACCATCATCATTTTACTTTGCCAAAGAAAGGCACAGTTCCCTCCCATCCAGTATCTGAGCAGAGCATCTTCCATAGGGAGCAACAACAGACACAATTCAAACTATTAATGTAAGTGTTAAGGAAGTGAGTGACTCTAATAGATCAGTGGCAAACCACTGTTTACACATTGGGTGGCTTCCAATTTTTGCTTTTAATGTAATTTGAGGAGGGCATAATCACTATCAACTGACAAGTTATTAAAAACCTTTTTTTCAATCGACCATATGTGATTTTTAGCCTATAACTCAGGTGTTCACAGAATTGAATTATATTGCTATGATAAAAATCCTTCTAGAATTTCCCAGCTAAGTTTGAATTATAGATTAAAAAAACCAAATAATTTATTATAAGTATGTCCCATGCAATGTTTGGGATATAGTAACTAAAATAATTATTCTTTATTTCTCTGACATTTAAATTGAACTGGGTGTCCTGTATTTGGGGCAGGGAGGAGGTGGGTAAGGAAGATTACATCTGGCAACCCTATTCCACTTCCATCTGTATGAACAAGATTTCCCAGCATTTACAATTATCACAATGAAAAATAGAAATAGCACTGATGTGGGTGTCTGCCTCATTTTAGCAGTAATATTCTTTAGTGAATACATGAATCTTTTTCTATATATATAAAAGACTAATATGCAAAGTGTCCCCTCAGAAGTTCGACCGGGAGACCAGGAGTTCGATTGCTCACTATGACATGCACTGACCACCAGGGGGGCAGCATGAAACGAAGGAAGGCCCCGATCAGCCCTGATTGCCAGCCAGGCCTAAGGACCTTACCCTTGCACGATTTCGTGCCCTGGGCCTCTAGTTAATTATAAAGACAAATATATAAAACAGCACCATCTACCTCATTGACAGGCATTCAATAAAATTTTATGTTTGTATTTAATTAGGATTTATCAAAATGTATAAAATGCATATGTTGTATTAATCAATCATATGCTTCTAAAAATTGATTAATAATTGCAGAAGACATTTTTAATACTTTAGAGCCTTATGATCCCAGACATTTTTAAAATTTCAATTTTTGTAAATGTAGCATTTTTATTACAGAGAAGTGTTACAGGATGAGCTATAGAAGACTTTCAAATATAAAATTCTGTGAGATAAGTAGAATGTGAATACAAATGAAAGCATAAGAAGAAAAGGAAATAATTAAAATTTTAAACGACTAAAGAAGAATTTGCTCATGTTTTGAGTTGTTTGGGATTTATTGATTGATTGATTGATTTGATAGAGGGGAAGGGATAGAGAAAGAGAAACATTGATCAGTTGCCTCCCGTACACACTAACCAGGATTGAACCATAACCTAGATATGGGCCCTGATTGGGAATCAAACCCCAAACCTTGGCACATCAAGAGGATGCTCCAACCAACTGAGCTACCCAGCCAGGACGGTTGCTTGGGATTTTTTTTTTAATATTTTTTTTATTGATTTCAGAGAGGAAGGGAGAGGGAGAGAGAGAGAGAGAGAGAAACATCAATGAAGACAGAGAATCCTTGATCAGTTGCCTCCTGCATGCCCCCTACTGGGGATCGAGCCCCCACAACCTGGGCATGTGCCTTGACCGGAATCAAACCCAGGACCTTTCAGTCTGCAGGCCGGCACTCTATCCACTGAGCCAAACCAGCTAGGGCTGTTTGGGATTTTTTTTTTTTTAATATATTTTATTGATTTTTTTTTTTTTTTACAGAGAGGAAGGGAGAGAGATAGAGAGTTAGAAATATCGATGAGAGAGAAACATCGATCAGCTGCCTCCTGCACACTCCCCACTGGGGATGTGCCCGCAATCAAGGTACATGCCCTTGACCGGAATCGAACCCGGGACCCTTGAGTACGCAGGCTGATGCTCTATCCACTGAGCCAAACCAGTTAGGGCTGTTTGGGATTTTTTAATAGAGGATGGTGGGTATCAAATCGCTTGGAAATTTAGATTCCATTTGATACACTTAAGAGAAAGGTAGGACAGACTTCATTTTTAAATGTCAACATGTGCCATATTTGCTAGAAATCTCACCCTTTGAAATTTTAAAACTTCTGATGACCAAGTTTAAATTCCAACCTCAAAATGTACCAGGTAGCTTTTCAATATTCCCCTTGGGTGCTATGAGAGCAATAATGTTTTGAGGCCACCGCTTTGTAAGGCCCAAATGTTTGGCTTTCTCTCCTCTTCTGTGAGCTACTTACTCCCAGGCCTCCCAGTAACTTCTTCCCACCAGAGTCAGGCACAGTTGATTTCTGTTGCTGACAAAGAGGCATGACTGCCTCACGATCCAAAGACCAGTTTGTTTTCTTAATTACTTGTCATAATGTGTAATATGTAATCTTAGTAATGATGCCCCTTTCCTTCCTTCCTTCCTTCCTTCCTTCCTTCCTTCCTTCCTTCCTTCCTTCCTTCCTTCCTTCCTTCCTTCCTTC